ATATATATATATATATATATATATATATATGACAAAACTTCAAAAATGGTCACTATGGTTTCCGAAAATCTGAAGTTTAGTCCTTAATCTTTAAAAACCTCACTGATGGTCTCTGTGGTTTCAAAACTTTTAACAGATGGTCATTTTCGCTAACTCTCTCTCTCTCTCTCAAAAAAAACAAACAAAGAACATGACCTTTTGTCAAATTTATAGGACTGCTTTTGTTCTTTTTTTTAGTAATTGTCAATTAAGAGACAAGGTAAGAAAAGTAAAATTCTTTCCACAGAGATGAACCACGAATTCACCATTGACAACCAAAGCTGCTTACAAAAACCCTTATATATTCGTACTCAGCCGTATTCTCCTCTCTCTCATCATTTCGAAATTAAAATGTAAATCAATCGTTCCGTCTATAGATTAATTTGATTTTTCCTTTGTTTTCAGGCAACTTCGAGGTAAGGTGGTAACAGGTGCAAAGTAGGAGACAACAATGGTAGCTTGTGAGTTCTTCTTCTTTTAGTGTAACTCTTTTTCTTTTCTTCATGAAACCAAGCTTGGGATTAAATTGTTCATTTTGATTTCTGGTTAATTTAACAAGATGTTGATGTAGGAAGATGAGTTGTTTTTAAAGGAAGAGGTGAAGACATGGAAGAAGGTGAAAAAGTTAAGAAATCACAACGATAGCTTTATGGAGGCATTTTCACGAACAGTTGATGTGCAGCTTAATAAATTCACCATAGAATAGGTGTTTTCTCTTCTAACTGGCATCCGAATTGGAGCTGAACCAAATAGACATATATGTTCTATTGGGATTATGAGAAAATAAGAAATATACACATTAAAACAAAAATCATGATTTTCTGGAATGAGTCATTTGTACCCCTCATAATGGAGCAGACATGGAGTAGGCTTCTGAAGCATCAGTTCACATCGTATTTGAGATGGAATAGAATGAGAAACCTCATAAGTATTCACCATGTGCATCCGTAATCTCAAAAAGTCATCTTGTATTTGCATAAATCAATGGAAATTTCAGTAGATTAATACCTTGGAGAGGAATTGAGATGGTACAACAGGTGTTGTACAGTCTAGGAAACATTCAAGGTTTGTCGATTGCATTGATGATTTCGATTGAAGAATAGAGGGTGAAACTAGACTTAAGAACAAACGAGATAACTTGGATCACCGAATTCACAACGATAACTTGTGCTACTGTCGGGGAATCTAATTTGATTTTTATGTTTGGGTTTATGATAAGGAAAACGAAAGGATTTTCCACATTAATTTCGTTCCAATACCTTAAATTAGAGAAGTAGAAAAACATGGGAATGTTGTAAATCCTTTGAAGGTCCCCAGAAACCGATGATTCCGACAAGGCTAGAAAGAAAGAAATAAAAAACACTCGATAAATGAAAGTGAAACAGGCATTAAAGAAAGGGGAAAATAATTGAAGACGAAGAGGAAGGGAATCGCATTTAATGTTTGAATTTATGGTGACTGGAAGCAAATAACACAGGTGTGTGTGTGAGAGAGAGACCATTTAATATTAAATAATTATATTTTTTTCTTTTTTTAAAAAAAAAAAAATAAATAAGGCAAAACTTCATAAATGGTCCCTGTGATTGTGAAATGACAGAAATGCCCTCCACTTAACGGCCAAAAGCTAACGGAGTTAGCGAAAAGAACCATCTGTTAAAAGTTTTGAAACCACAGGGACCATCAGTAAGGTTTTTAAAGATTAGGAACTAAACTTCAGATTTTCGGAAACCACAGGGACCATTTTCGAAGTTTTGTCT